ATTATCAGATGGCATTTCACTCTGTCAACGCCGGATATCGGCTCCCTCATAAGGGCTTATACTCACTGAATAATCTGCAAAATCAATATGATAGTAAACTGGGTATGTAGACCTTCAATTTACCTAAGGTAGAAGTGCTTGATAATTTTCATCGTGCTGCGAAAACATTCCCAGTTTGCTGTCCTGTGAATTATATGAGAATTCGCTTTTCATGTTTTTCACCGAAGCAGTATGTAATTTAAATCCCCAGTGCTAGTAAAATCTATATTTATTCAAAGTTTATTTTCCAATGCAAATTTTCAACACGTAGCATCTCATCTACTATGTACATAACTGTCAGTGTAAAAAGGATGAAATTGTAATCATATACAATTGTGATGGAAGACGAATGAGTGTGGAAGAGACGTTTCTGTTCTGCGCAGTTATTCATAACACCGGGACCAGTCATTCCATGCTGTCATGACGGCCAATACTGCTAGCCGTCGCTAAAGCGGGTCGACAGTGAGTGCGAGTTCAGAGCTTGCAGCTGCTGTTAGCTGTGCACTGCTTGAGCTTTCTCTGTAGAGTGTAAAGAGAAGAAGTGAAACGAATTGATTGACAGTTTCAGCGTCTAGATTTGATTTTGCGAAATGGGACTTACTGGCCGGTAAAGAATAAGTTAAGACCTGCGTGGAATGTTCCGCTTATGTTGCTTGGTAACTTTTTTCTACATTGGACTTCATTGCAGCACGGACTGCGTGTATTTTCATGCAGTCGCATAAGTCTTCTGTAAGTTTTTCATGAAAACAGAACTTCAGAGACCATAGGTATGTGAGATCACCAGCCACCATTTGATGGCAACGCTCGGCTGACTTTTCGACTGATTCCTCATAGAAAGGGTGGGATTAAGGTCCAAAGAATTCGCTGCATGCATCCCTGTTTTTATCCTTTTTCAAAACACCTTCCATTGAAGATGACTGAAGATCCAGACATCCAGAGGCGCGAGGTCCGAGCTATGTTTGAGCTCGAAGTTCACCTAGTGGCTGCTTTCATAGTCTACGATTTGGTCCGCGAGCGAGCGAGTGAGCGATTGGAGCGGTGCTTGCCCGCGGTATCGACCAAGATTCATTGTAAACAAGGGGGGCAAGCGCCGCCCCAATAGCTCACAGGCTCGCTCGCGGGCCAAATCGTAGACTATGAAAGCAGCCACAAGGTTATATTTTTCCACCCTGCGCTGCACCAACCTGGCCGCGTATAGTTTTGCTTGATTTCGGCCTACTGCCAGCAAGTCCGCAACTACAGTAGATATAAATCTTGAGGTTTTGACGTTGACGAGTATAGGCCTGAGCATTAGTCACCTGCCCGTATGTAGGGGCTGCCTCCATCTTACACGTACACCACAAACAGGGGAGTAGTTTCTGTATGAGAGTGGTTTCGCGACCGGCCGCTTCCTCATTCTGATATACCCACTGTCTTCTCCATGTGAAGCTCTCGTAAATGAGTAGCAGTATTGAAGAGAGAGAAGAATAACTTGAAGCCTTCCTTAGCTAGAGTTAAGAGGTGACCAGTTCGTAGAGAGGAACTGTTCGGCCCTTTAGACCTTGCTCATCTTCTTCAGTCCTTGTGCATTGCTATCTCTCTAGTGGTTACATAGAGCTTCTCCTCCGCAGCTTCTTAGCCCAACGATGCTCCCTTTGGTAGCTGACTCAACCACTCCGTTCAGCCAGGGAGTGTTCGTGATTCTTAAATTTCGCGAACAGCATCGCTTACGTTTTGTATAAAGCGATAGCTTTACCGTATGCATGTACTACACTGTTGCCGACTTATTTGCCTCTTATTGTTAGTCCAACTTGTAAAAGAAGATCGTGAGAAAGATGGGCATGACGGAGATGACTTTTCCGTCCTCATCAGTATATAACCACCGAATTGATGTGAGACAGCAAGGTCTGAAAAAATCGAACTGCTCATCACTATTAATCGTAGATTATAAAAACTAATATTATGCAAAAGGACGTGGTTGCGAAAGAATTGATAAAAGGCTTGTACGACAACCTCATTATTGTTTCGCTCAATCTCTCGTTCTGCGATTCGCTAATCAGCGCCAGCTCTGAACGAATTGCGACCCAAACATGGCGGTAGCGGGCATTGGGAAAATCTCCGACTAAGGAGAAATGGACGTTACGTCAAAGAACTCGTAGCGTGGTTACCGAAATAATGTGCAGTGTGAGGCTAATTGTGACATAGACCTGAAGCGTAACCTTTTGGTCCGCACCATGAAACCGGTAACTGAGAAATGAGACAGAGAGACCATGGTTCGCGAGTTAATGGAAAAGGCTCAAAGTTCTAAAGCGCTGTAATGTTTTCTGAGTACAAAATCAAAACTGTAGAAAACGAACATCTCAGCACCAATGAAAGATCTGTAGATCCATATTTTCCGAGTTCCATCGAACATCATGACAGAGCCGGTGGTGGAACATTCAGACAAGGTAATCTAGAGACCATCTATACAATTACACACGTCTTGCTTTTGTTCTTCAGCTGCCTCTGCATCATTTTTCGGTGAGCAGCATTTGTTGAAGACTGCGGTAGAGAAAACTCAGGTTTCTGAAATACTGTTAATAAGTGTATCGTAAACTTGCAACAGAAGTCATAACTAGAAGTCCAGAAATGTTCCGTGCAAAATTTCATTTTTGGTCCGCATAGGTGGTAGAGTTTCCCGGGTCCGGTATCTTCTCCCCGGGTATGTGTTACTACGTCCGAGGATGTGCGCGGCAATTGGCGCGGCGATGTTCGTAACGACTTGAACTACTTCAGCGCCTATCATTGGGGCCCAAATTTGAAGGAGAGTAGATTAGAAGGATCACATGACCCTACTTAATCATCCATTTTCGACTCTGAATCTTGGCATAGCTTTGCATTAATGTTATAAAAAAAGTCTTATAACCTACTTAATCAGTCTACTTCGAGTTTGTACCCCGAAAATTGGTGCCAGAGT